TAAACTACATTTTGTGCCAGAACCGTAAAAGTGTGAAAATAGATTTAAAAAAAATTTATAATTCCTGTGTAATTTCTTTTGTGTTCATGGTTGAAAAAACTGATATAAAATTTGGTAAAAAGCTTGCCTTGATTAATACATAATAGTATATTGGCAAAATATTTATTTTAAATGGCAACTCACTTTACTGATGTTGCACAGTTTGTCCTGGCTCCGCCTTCCAGTTTAATGTAAAATCATTTGAAAGTAGTATTGACGTAAACTATAACTTTTTAAGTGCTTGGAAGTGGACGCCCTCTTCAGCTGCATTGATTCTGCATTATGAACATCCATCTTACTCACCTGGAGGGCACTGATTGGCTGAAAGCACTGGACTAACCCGCCCCTGGCACTCAGAGCCAATCAATGTTCATTCTGCATTATCAATGTGGTTACTGGGTATCGTGGAGAGCGTTGGTTACTCTCAAACTATGTCTCAACATGTTTCAGGACACTCTACTAACATAACCACTAGAGTGAGCTTATTGTGCTCCTTTAAACAATCACTTATTTTTAAATCTAAAGAAGACTTATATAGCTCCTTTAAATAATCAATTATACCTACTGTAAATCTAAAGAACACTCTTCCTTTAATTTTCTTCCTTAATCTAGAATACATTTTCATTAATTAACCTTTTATTTAATGTGACATGAATTACTAATAAAAATAAACCATCTGTTTATCGAACTGATGTCTGAAACCAAAATTTCTCAGAATTTTTTTTGTTTTTTTTTCTAGTCAAAACGTCACATCCTGACTCCTATCATCAGTACAGGGCTGATAGTGAAGATGTCCTGCGTCAGGAATTTTTCCTTTATCTCATGCCATGGACTTCTAAGCAATTTGGAACTCTCTGTATTTCTCCTTGTGCCCAAACCAGCTGATGAGGAGCCCCAATAAACGAGAGAAGACAATGTAAGGTTCAAGCTGACTTGTAACATTTAATAGACTGTGTAACAGGTTATATTCAAGAGGAAACAGGGGTCGTTTTACAAACATTATCCAATAATAATATAATTCATCAATCTAATCTCAACATACCTTATCCTATAGCTAGCTTCAAGGTGTAATGGGGGAGTACTCATTATAGTTTCAGTTTACCTATGCAGCTGAGATAAAAAAGTTACAACACACTCATAAAATAGATATGTTACTACGCAGTTAGAATTACAGAAATAGAAAACAGGTAATAAGACCAGCACTCTGAGACAGGAAAGTTTATAGCTCTGTCTAGGGGTATATTCACTAAGCATTGTATATAGATAAATTGTATTATTCCCAACAAGGGTGCACAATGGAACGGGGGAACCAGTGACTGACCGCAGCAGCTCTCGTGACACTGCACAATTACACTGTCAGATCCACATCAGCAAAGATATTACTGGCTTTTGCAGAAGTGGATGCTTTGTGACTCCTTGGCAGCCTATCATTTGGACTTTCGTTGCTCCACTTCCACATCACTGAATTGTATAACTTTAGAACTCTGTGTTTTATAGACCTCCATGGCAATAAAATTCACAATAATGTACATTTGTATGAATGAATCACAGAGTTACCAAGCAATCAAACTCACAGTAATGTACAGTTTGTAGAAATGAATCACAGAGCTCCCAACCAATAAATCTCACAGTAATGTGGAGAGTATATGCATTTGTCACAGAGCTCCTCAGCAATACAAATCACAGTAAAGTGTAGAATGGACCAATGTATCACAGAACTCCTTAGTCATACCACTAATAGTAAAATGTTGTTAAAGTTTATCACAGAGGTGCACGCCACCAGGCCCGGACTGGCCATCGGGCACACCGGGCAAATGCCCGGTGGGCCGCGGTGGCCGTGGGGCCGAGGCCGGCAGGGGAGGTCTCAGGATCTCCCCTTCCGGTCTATGCAGGGCCGGCACTATGCGAGCGCCGGCCCCGCTGTTTGCCATGGAGGGCCGGTGGGGAGATCAAAGATCTCCCTCACCGGCCCACATGCGCTCAAACGCGGCCGCTGGCGGGGAGAGAGGGAGGGAGACAGCCGCCTGGAGAGAGGACCCGGCGGAGCTCTAACTTGCAGCTCCGCCGTGTTTCTCTCGCGAGATCCGGACCGTTGCTATGGCAACCAACCGGGTCTCGCGAGAGTGAACTCTAGCCCCAAAGGACTAGAGTTCACTTACCACGAGGACCACCAGGGATGGCTGGCAGCAGCAGCACGACCTGCCCCCCCCCCTTCCAGGCTACAGGTAAGAATGGGGGGGGGGAGGAATATAATGTATTTATTATTATTATTTATTATTTTTATTATTATTATTATTATGTATTCTTTATTATTATTTATTATTTTTATTATTATTATGTATTTATTATGTATTTATTATTATTATTATTATTATTATGTATTTATTATTATTATTATTATGTATTCTTTATTATTATTTATTATTATTATTATTTATTATGTGTTTATTATTATTTATTATGTATTTATTATTTATTATTATGTATTTATTATTATTATTATTTTTTAGTAAAACATTAATAGTGCCCTTTACCTGCCTCCCCCAATACAAAATCCTTGCAAACACACACATCACCCTCACCCAGCACCCTAACATTGACACAGCACCCCAACACACACACAGCACCCTAACACCAGCACCCTAACATTGACACAGCACCCCAACACCAGCACCCTAACATTGACACAGCACCCCAACACACACAGCACCCTAACACCAGCACCCTAACATTGACACAGCACCCTAACACCAGCACCCTAACATTGACACAGCACCCTAACACACACACAGCACCCTAACACCAGCACCCTAACACACACACAGCACCCTAACATTGACACAGCACCCTAACACACACACAGCACCCTAACATTGACACAGAACCCTAACACACACACAGCACCCTAACACACACACAGCACCCTAACACCAGCACCCTAACATTGACACAGAACCCTAACACACACAGCAGCACCCTAACACCAGCACCCTAACACCAGCACCCTAACACACAGAACCCTAACACACACAGCACCCTAACACACACAGCACCCTAACACACACACAGCACCCTAACACCAGCACCCTAACATTGACACAGCACCCTAACACACACACACACAGCACCATCAAATACACAGAACCCTCGCACAGTGCCCTAACACACAGCGCCCTCACACACACATACTGCACCCCCCCACACACACCACCCTCCCACACACACACCACCCTCCCACACACACTATACTCCTCACAAATGCAAACTACACCCCTCACACACACAGCACCCCCCAAACACACTGCACCACTCACATACTCACTAGATCTCCTATACGCACTCCTGAGTCCTTCAAACACACACTAGATCCCCTACACACAGACGCTGCACCACTTACACACACACTACATTTCTGACATACACACTCAGGATCCCCGATGACACAGCACCCCAACAGTACACATTAGATACCCTTTAAGCAAACACATAGTGTCTCCATAAATGGGATACAGTGAGTATTCCATTTATGGAAACCCCTGAGACAAGTTTCAAGCAGACTCAATGCAAGCATGTTATAAAATTTGCTTGCGCTGTGCAGATCAAATACAGGGCTCTTTTCTCATGTCCTGGAAGAGCATTGAACCAACATGCTCACTTTGAGATGGGGCGTGCTTGTCATTGGGGATGACAAAACACACCCTATCTGGCCCCGCCCCCTTTTCATTGGGCCGCTGTAATTAAAAATGCCCGGGCCGAATTTTTTTCCCCAGTCCGGCCCTGCACGCCACTAGACCTCACATATGCAGGTGTTATGCATATACACAGAACAACCACAACATTAAACCACTGACAGGTGAAGTGAATAACATTGATTATATCTTTACAATGACTCTTGTCAAGGGTTGGGATAAATTAGCAGCATGTGAACAGTCGGTCCTTGAATTGCATCTGTTGGAAGAGGGAAAATGGGCAAGCAAAAAGATCTGAGTGACTTTGATCAGGGCCAAATAATAATGTCTGGATGACTGGGCCAGAGCATCTTCGAAATGGGAAGACTTATGGGTTGTTCTGGTTTGGTAGCGCCTATCAAAAAGGGTGCAGAAAGGACAACCAGTGAACCGGCGTCAGGATCATTGGCGCCAAAGCTCATTAATGGGAGCGAAGGCTAGCCTGTTTGGTCTGATCACACAGAAGAGCTACTGTTGCTCAAATTGCTGAAAAACATATTGCTGGCCATGATAGAAAGGTCTCAGTTTACATCGCAGTTTGCTGCGCTTGTAGCCACAAATCGGTCAGAGTGCCCATGAGGAACCCTGTTCACTGCGAAAACTCCTTCAATGGGGACGTGAGCATCAGAACTGGAACACAGAACAATTGAAGAAGGTTGCTTGGTCTGATGAATCATGTTTTCTTTTATATCAAATGCATGGCCGACTACATGTGCATAGTTTACTTGGGGATGAGATGGCGGCAGGATGCACTATGGGAAGAACAGGCTGGCTATGCTGTGGGAAATGTTCTGCTGGTAAACCTTGGGTCCTGGCCTTTATGTCAATGTTACTTGACATGTAACACCTACCTAGAGATAGTTGCAGACCACATACACTCCCATTCATGACAATGGTGTTCCCTGATGGCCGTTGCTTTTTTCATTATTATAATACCTGCTGACACACTGCAAACATTGTTCAGGAATTATTTGAAACATGACAAAGAGTTCAAGGAGTAGCCTTGCCGCCAAATTCCCCAGATGTCAAACTGATTGAGCATCTGTGGGATATGCTGGAACAATAAATCCGATCCCTGGAGGCCACACCTCACAACCTACAGGACTTAAAGTATCTGCTGCTGTCAGATACTACATGACACATTCAGAGATCCTGTGGAGTCCATGCTTCGACACCATAGGCGTGCGCAGCCTATAGCATTAGGGTGTGCATCCTATAGCACAAACACACTGCATGTATATGTGTGTGTGTGTGTGTGTGTATATATATATATATATATATATATATACATATATACACACACACACACACACACACACACACACACACACACACACACATATATATATATATATATATATATATACACACATATACACACACACACACACATATATATATATATACACACACACACACACACACATATACATACATACATACACTGCTGTGTGTGTGTGTGAGGGTGCTGTTAGTGTGCTGTGTGTGTGTGTGTGTATGTGTGTGTGAGGGTGCTGTTAGTGTGCTGTGTGTGTGAGGGTGTTGTGTGTGCTGTTAGTGTGCTGTGTGTGTGAGAGTGCTGTTAGTGTGCTGTGTGTAAGGGTGCTGTTAGTGTGCTGTGTGTGTGAGGGTGCTATTAGTGTGCTGTGTGTGAAGGTGCTGTGTGTGAGAGGGTGCTGTTAGTATGCTGTGTGTGTGTGTGTGATGTGTGTGAGGGTGCTGTGTGTGAGAGGGTGCAGTAAGTGTGCTGTGTGTGTGTGTGTGAGGGTGCTGTTAGTTTGCTGTGTGTGTGAGGGTGCTGTGTGTGGTGTGTGTGATGATGCTGTGTGTGAATTTGTTTGGAGGGATTGTGTGTGGGAGTGGGGGGGACTGATTAGGAAATAGCCCTCTCCCTCCTTACCTTTTGCCTGGGAGGGGGGATCCTTGCTGACATTCCTCATGGTCCTAGTGGTGAGTGAACTCTAACCTGCAGGGCAATGCTCCGACCTCGCGAGAGGAACCTGGCGGAGCTGCTGGCTAGAGCTCCCTGGGTCCTCTACTGCTCCCTCCATGCATATGGGCCGGTGAGGGAGATCTTTGCTCTCCCCACCGGCCCATGGAGTCACACAGCAGGGCCGGCGCTCAGTTAGCGGTGGCTCTGCATGGACCGACAGGGGAGATCCAGTCTCGATCCATGCCCAGGCACACCCGGCACATCCAGTGCGCACGCCTATGCTCGACACATCAGAGCTGTGTTGGCAGCACGAGTGGAACTTTCATTAATTTTAGGCAGCTGGTTTTAATGTTGTGGCTGATCAGTGTAAGTATATCACAAAGCTCTTCAGCAATAGAAATGATTGTAATGTGTAGTGGACTTGAGCTGATTACAGAGCTCTACAGCAATACAATTCACAGCCATGTGATTAATATGTTGTAAAAGTGTTTATTTAAAAAAAAGGTTAAGGCCTCCAATTTGACCTCTTCCTACTTGACAATTTAACCATTGTGATTTCAATTCTCTGCAAATCATTGTTTAGAGAATATACCCCAGAGTGATGAAGTGTGACATCTAACAATAAGCCTCAAAAACACAAATTAATTTGTGCAAGTGGAACTGCAACATTAAAAAAAATCTCAGCGTATTCTGTGTGACCATTTATTCTGTCGCAGGGTAACCAAACGGACGCATCCAAACAGGGAGGAGCACTCAGATAAGTGGGTCAGATAAACATTATTTATGGAGTGCCCCGCTGAAATATTCAGAGCGCTCTGAACAATAAAATACATAAAACATTAACAAGGGCTCATAAAAAACACAATCAAGCAGCAGAGAGTAGCTGCCAAGATACCATTAATATACAAGCTTGTTAAAATAATTAAGCCTTAAAGAGACAGCTCTGCAATCTCATATCTCTGTTTCCATTTAAGTGACACAGTCTTTTATTTTGTTTTTCCCTTTCACTCACTCTCTCCAGTAATAGGGAAGTGATTATAATCCTTTTTAATGCAATTAAAATGAAAACTGTACAGGGTCTCATTAAGATTGAGTTTTTTATTCAGTAAACGTCAGCATGAACAATTGCAATTCTATCCGGCTCTAACAACCTGTGACTTGAATGACAATTAATACCAGATAGGGTTCGATCCCCTATTGTAAAGTGGGTGATTAGGAGTTCAAAACATTTAGGGTTATAGATATAAAATGTCTCTGTAAAACAGTATATGAGCTCCTAAAAGACAAAGGAAAATTCATTCTAATTTGCACTGGTTATATCAGCTGCAAAGCAATTACAGAAGCCCCCGTATTATTATTATTATTATTATTATTATTATCACCATTATTAGTAATAGTATTATTATTAATTTATAAATTGGCAGCAAATTCTAGAAATCATCGCACTGTGTAATAAAAAGTCAGTGGAAAATAAACACAATTGATAGAAAAGATAGTGAGATTGTCTGCACTTTATAAATTAATAAACAGACAGATATATGAATATGACTCGACTGCTAGGCCAATTGCAGTGACACCTAAAAATATGTACTGTTTATGAATCTCACATTAATGATAAATAAAACAAGAAAAAAACTAAAACCACAACAGCCAACAGTAAACCTATTATTTAAAAGCATTATCTAGTGAATCAACTGCATTTTACATTATTTTTCTACAGGATCTTAAAGGGAAAGTCTAGCAAGGTCGGCCGGTATGGTGGGAATTCTATGTGACTTCAAAGTGAATCTCAAATTTTAGGACAAAATAGCCAAACCAAATTGTCTACTTTTGCCTTAAATTTGAAATTCACTTTGAATTCACTTTGAATTTTCATTTTACTATATGCCCCTGAAAGTTTCAGAATTACTTTCTAACTGTGTTAAATCCTACCATTACTTAGCTGCAGAACAAACCTTCTTTTACCCAGTACCAAAACCCTTGTTAGAAGCATTGTGGACACAGGGAGCATAATATAACAGATGAACATATTATGAACAGTTATTCAAATAACAGTTTTATAAATATACCCCAAACACATTAGTAAACTATGAAAATGTTGATGAATATAATATATATATCAAACATTATCAAATCATTAAATAGTGGATTTTAAATGCTGGATATTTTACAAATCATATTAAACTATATCTTTATATATGTATAATAAAATAATATTGTAGCCTCTTACGCAGTCTCTCATGCTGTACAGATGAGGTCTGCAGGCTTTGATGGTTTTTAAGTCTTCTTGTGAGATCCTTATCTTATCTCACAAAGGAGGCTGCTGTCAAGGGGTAAATTGCTTAAAGGGACATTCCACTGAGCAAATAAAAAAATAAAAAATAAATATACCACTGTTTAATAGATACACCCCAACGAAAACATGCATGCATTTAATTATGTATTTTGTCATGCATATTATACCAGGAAAATATATGTTATAATCCCTACAATTTACTTATGCAGTTTTCTTATTTGGGATATATCTAAAGAAAAAGCTTGCAAAAGTTGCATATATCTTGTGTGCAGCCTGTGAAAGTCCACACCTTTTTCAAGGAGCCTAATCTCTCTGTGGCTATCCATTCACAGACTTCCCCGTGCAGCTTAATACGAAGTCTTTGCACAACAGGTGCTCTGAGCAATTGCTGCCTTTTGAGTTTGGCTACACTGATCTAAATAACCAGGAAGTAAAAGAACTGGTTATTCAGCATCCTAAGGTGCTTCAGGGGGTCTCACACCACTAAGATAAGCAGAACTCTCCGCCAGGCTGCAAGTGCTAAAATAAACATTGGTACTGACTTAATATTTTTTGCAAAAAATGGGGAAATGGCTTAAATTCTAAAAAAAAAAAATCGTAATATGACACTTGTATGATAATGCTTAAGTAGATATGCCTCGGTCACCACAAACTTAGCTTCCTCCTATTGTTTCCTCCTCTCTTCCTTTTTCAGAATATGTTTTTCTTTTCTTAAGTTCAGATCTATTTCTCTTAAAAACATAAGACCAAGTCGGAACGACTTGGTCTTTTGTATCTTGCCTATACTTGACAATCTTGACAATGTATGGAGCTTCAGGCAAGTTTCACTTCTTTAGTAAAAAATAGAGGAGCTTGCCTTATGCTCCACCCTTCTGCCATAATTGTCATACATACAATACATAAAACAAAGTAGTACCTAGATCAGAAATGAAGAAAAGAAAAACAGATTCTGAAAGAGGAAGAGGAAAAGAAGCCATAGAAGAAAGGTAAATTTGACGTGGCCGAGCCAATTTAACCAACCATTACCAGAAGAAACAAAATAGTCACAGGGTGCCTCCAAAGATGTCCTGGTGGCCATGTTAGTTCACTCCCAGGTTTATCTTTTCTCTGTTTAGCTCAAAGTACTTCTTCAGGATCCTTTCTTAAACACAGTCAATAAAAACAAACATAATAAACAGCACAATACCTTCCTTGTCAAAATACAAAAATTAAAATAGACCTATTGCACGTCTGCTGTTGATAGTCTTGTAGAGGTGGGCTTCCTTTCTCCATCTTCTGTGAGTATCTTAATTAATCCAGCATCCTTGCTACATCCAACCTCAGCAGATGGTCCTCGAGCGACCTTTGTATGTATCTATTGCGTATGTATTCCAGCTTGTACCACGTGATTGATAGATGGATCGATGGATAGATCTTTTCAGTGTGGGAAGATATGTGACTGATAGTCAGGGCAACGGTTGCACAAATAAAGTGATTTAAAGAGGCCTGGGTATAGTGGACATGCATTTTTAACTCTTCAAGGTAAAACATTGCTGTTTTGCAGAAACGGCAAGGTTTACCTTGTTTGGTTGAACACACCTAGAGTAGCTGTTCCACTCACAGCCACTGGAGGCACTTCTGCAGCACTGACCTAGTAAAATTTAGTCATGGGACTTATAAGCCTCTTTAGTAAAACATTGATTCAATCTGTCTACAAAAGATAAGTAAAAGTCTATTATTTTATGTGACACACCGGCGAGGGGACACCTATTTAACAAGGGATAGACATATTAAGTCGGTAGGAATACAGGTATGCATTTCTGAGAGAACACTTCCTGTCAGTGAGAGAGCACTTTCTGTCAGACTGGGTGCAGGAAATAGACGCTCCTGTACCGTGGTCTGCTCCACTCGGCCATTCTACAAGAGAGGTACACCTCGGAGGTTGAGAGGACCACTAAGGGGGAGAAAGGACCACTGGGGGGGCATGGGGGAAGAGGACCACTGAGGGGCAGGCAAGGGAAGGGAGAGGAACACTAAGGGACAGGGAGGGGAGGGAAGAGAAATACTAAGGGACTGGGAAGGGAGGGGAGAGTAACACTTAGGACAGGGAGAGGAGGGAAG